GGATGGTTCAACCTAAATGTAGGTGGTACCATTCTATGCTCAGGGATCTCACACAGAAAAAAAGGAAAAAGTAAATTTAGCATCATAAGTATTTATCATTCTCTGGTTCCTGACTGCAAGCACAACGTAATCAGGTGTCTCCTGTTCTTGCTGCCATGCTGCCATTACCGCAATGTGCTATATCATAAGACTTGTAAGCTAGAGCTAAACTTTCTTCCTTTAAGTTTCCTCTTGTCAGATATTTTATCAGATCAATGAGAAAAGTAACTAATACAGAAAATGAGTATCAAGAAATGAGACTATTACAATGATCCTGACCACAGTTCTTAGGCATTGGCAAGTGGTTTTCAGGAGCAATGAAAAAATAGTTTGGAACATTGGGACAGAAAAACTCTTGGATGGTTTAAGAAGAGAGTGTGGAAGACCAGAAAGTCAAGAGAAATGAGGGATGGTAGAAACATGGCTTATGGTATTTCTGAGGAAACAAGGACTCAATTGGTAACTGGTGTAGAGATCACTAAATGTACACCTTGGCATAGAATCTGGCTTCATTTTGATTCATGAAGAGCTTTGAGAACTTGAGTAAAGCTGAATTCTGGAGTAATGAACTAATTGATTCTACAGAAGGACTTTTAGGAAAGGATAGCATTCAGGTTTGTGACATGGTTATTGCTGGCCAATATTATCCAAGTCTACAGTGAAAATCCACAGCAAGTGAGAGCAGAAAAACAGAAAGAAAATGCAATTTGTCAAGGAACAGAGCTCAAGAAAGCTCAATGTTGTAACTAAGGTGTGTGCTTAAAAAAAAGATGCTATGAAAAACATAAAGCCTTGCTTTGACATAGAACAGTAGCAATGATTACCAGAAACTCTTGCCTTAACATAAAATAATAGAATGAGGTCAAGACTCCAACCATCAAAGGCTCAGGCTTCTGAAAATGCAAGTTAAGTTGAAAAGAGAGCCTAAACTATGAAGTCCACCGAAAGGATTGCCTGCTCATGAAAATAAACTGCTTAGGGATGTGTCTCCAGAGTCAGCATCCAATGGCTATTGTAACTGAGGTACAAGAATCAGGCTCCATATCAAGCTGGCAGTAGAACACAGAAGTGTCATATACATGGTGATGATTTAGCAGGCCTGAAAGATTCAAGATTGAAGGTATCATGGAATCTTACACCACAGTTCAACCACAGAGAAATATTGAGGGTAAACAATGTGTGGAAGGGTCAGAATCCCTGTAATTAGGCCCAGAGGGACCACTGCAAATGGGTGAAGTCTAGGTTACAATGGAGATCCCTAAATATTGGCAATGTCAGAACTATGAGCTATCTCAATAAAGAAAACTGCATGTATGAAGCAGTCATACAGCAAAGACCCAAAGCATAAAAAATATAGAATTTGTCAAATAAAACTTAACTGGTGCCAAGTAGCCTTTGTTATGTTTTCTACATCATCTGTACTTACAAGATTGGAGAAACATTTCCTGTAATTCTGAAGCTAATCCTTCCATTTGGATCAAAAGAGAAGTTGTGCATATTAAAGGCAGACGAGATGGAAAGGAGACCTACCTACAGCTTTTGGAACTCATATAACTCCACCATGAACCCCACACACTTTGTGAAATGCACGGAGCTGCAGGATTTGGTTTTGTTCTGCCAACTTAGTCTTGGCCCTGTCTTCCCATGCTGTGTTCCCATTCCTCTCTTTCGAATGAGAGTGCTTAATGTGTGCCATTGTATATTAAAACTATATAACTTGTTGGGGGTTTCTTTAATATTTTTAATTGAAATAGAGTCACATCATTCCTCCTGCTTCCTCCCTCCAGCCCACCCTAGCTTTCCTCCATCAAACCTCTCTCATGCTCTTGCCATACTTAAGGTGATAGCTTATTTTTCTGTTATGATATTTGTTATATACATATATGTATGTGCATATGCACAAATATATCTATATCTATGATCTGCTGAGCCCATTTTTTGTTGTTTGTATGGTTGTTCATAATATGTTTTTGGTGGGTTGTAGAGATGCACAGTTAAAAAGATTATTTTTAGCCTCCAATGAGATTTTTTTTTTACTTTCAACAGTGTTGAAATTATTAAAAACTGGGGAGGGGGAAGGGTTGAAGTTGGGATGAGTAAATTTTGCCTTATGGAATGCCCATAAGCTTATAGGGATAACAAGTGGAAGGTATTGATTAAAGTTGTTGTAGCACAAATCTTAAAAGGCCTTATTAATAAAAACGAACCTGAGGTCAGTTATTGGGGTGAATGCTGGAAGCTCAGATAAGCAGAACAAGCCACAGCCACCTCTCCTTGCCAGTTCCTCAGCTGATCCTGTTTGCTCAGACTGGAAGCTTCTGAGTCCTCATTCAGAATGAATCTCAGCTGAACTGCTGCTCAAAAGCCTAAAAGCTTAATCAGCCTAGTTCCTGGTTTTCATGCCTTATATACCTTTCTGCTTTCTGCACTCACTTCCTGGGATTAAAGGCTCACTTCTTGGGATTAAAGGCGTGAGTCACCATGCATGGCTATTTCCAGTGTGACTTTAAACTCACAGAGATCTGGATGGATCTCTGCCTCCCAAGTGATAGGATTAAAGGCGTGTGTGTCACCATTTTCTGGCCTCTATATCTAGTGGCTGTTCTGTTCTCTGACCCAAGATAAGTTTATTGGGGTACACAATATTTTGGGGAACACAATACCACCACAAGTTGGTATGTTTGGGTGTCAAGATAATGAAAGTTCAAGTTATGGTAGTCAATCTTGCTTCAACTTGATTGAATTTAAATGCATCATAGAAACAAATAACTGGGCATGTCTATTAAGGATTATCTAGATTAGGTTAACTGAGATAAAAAGACCCATCCTAAATATGGGGATGAGATTTCATGGATCAGGGTCCCAGACTGAATAAAAAAGAGAAATCTAATTAAGCATGACTTTCACAGCTCTTGCTTTCTTTTCTGTAGATGCAATGTCACTAGCTATCTCCTGCTTCTGTGCCACGCTCCTTCATCATGCTTGAGTTCCTCTCTTTAAACTGTAAGCCAAATATAACCCCTCTTCCTTTATGTTGTTTCTTGGTGGGTATTTTTTTCACAGTGATGAGAAAATACCTAATATATCTCCCTCTAGGGAAACCCCATACCTTTGTAGACAGTGACTTTGTGAGCATGCTCCCAGGCTTTAAGTGGGATGCCAGTATTTACTGATAATTCTGTTCTGCCTCCCAGTCAATTCCTTCTCTACATCTATACAGCAGTTGTTCACATCACTCAGCACATACCGAATTTACAAAAACGTATAGAACTATTTTGTGAGGAAGAAGTCTCTGCTGACCAAAGCCATTGCCTTTATTATGTGGTTTCCTTAATCCTTTACTCTTGCTAGACTGAGGGATTCTTCTCTGTCACATCTGAGGCTAATCTTCCCACCTGTGTTTAGGATCCAGTCTTCACTGTCTCCTTAGAAAGCATCTTTTGTTTATCTTCTGCTCTCTCTTTTCATGGATTACAACTTCATGCTTCTTTGGATTTGAATATATTTTGATTCAGTACTTAAATATGAGAATATTACACGGTTAGACTTTGGTTCCTTTTTAACAAGAGATTTTGTAGTTTTTTTTTCAAGCAAATTCTGCATATGCTTTAATCTTTTATTTCAATTAAAATTTTTAATTGATGTGTAGTAACCGTAAATATTTCCAGAGTACAGCATGCTATAAATACAACATGAAATGAGGAGATCATGGAAACTGGATTATCTACCACCTTACACATTTATCATTTTGTTGTTTGGAGGAACATTTTTTTATCAACCACACTTGTCTTACAGTTATATAGAACACTGAAAATCAACTGGAGGGAGGAAAAGGAGTGGATAAGATGATGTCATTCTATTTCATTTAAAAGCATTTTTTAAAATATAAAATAAATGATATAAAGTAAAAATAAAGGTAGAAAAAAATCACCCCTTCTATCCAATATACTCATGTACTTCCCAACCTTCTTCTTGCAGCCTCTACCTTCTCTTTTCAGGCACTGGGGATCACCACTCTGTGAAATCAACTCTTACCTTCCACATGTGAGTGGGAACATGCAGTGTTTGTCTTGCTGAGCTTATCTCACTTGATGTAATGTTGTCTGTCTATCCAAATGGCTACAAATTATTTTCTATGGTTGAATAATATTCCATGTTTTCTTTATTCATTCATTCATTAACAGATAAGCAATAGAGTCAATATCTTCAAAGTGTTGTTTCACAAACCTAAATTAGTTTGGATCAGAGCCAGACATTCCTGGGCATAAGCCCAGCTTTCTACGTGCTAATGATTACTCCATTCTAACAAACCAATCTATGTCATTGTTTACTACCCTTTAAATATGTCATAATGCCCCCCCCCCCATATTAGAGTGTTTCTCATTCCTAAACTTTGACCAACCTCATCCTATAGATTCAGGGGTTTGGAATTTTAGTGGAATAATTCATGTAATTCAATAAAAATGTTTATTAATCACTTTGATGATATTACTAGTGTCTTAGGGTTTCTATTGCTGTGACGAAACACCACAACCAAAACAACATGGGGATGAAAGGGTTTAGGCGCCTTATTCTTCTACATCACAGTTCATCATCAAAGGAAGCCAGGACAGGAACTCAAGCAGGATAGGAACCTAGAGGCAGGAACTGTTGCAGAGGACATGGAAGAGGGCTGCTTACTGGTTTTGCCTCTCATGGCTTGCTTGGCCTGCTTTTTTATAGAACCTAGGGCCACCAGCATAGGGATAGCACCAGCCACAATGAACTGGATCCTCCCACATTAATCACTAATTAAGAAAATGCCTTAAGGCTTGCCTACAACCTGGCCTTATGGAGGCAATTTTTTTCATTTTTCTTTATTAAGAAATTTTCTACTCACTCCACATACCACCCATAGTTCTCCCTCCTCCCTCTTCCCACCCTCCCAGCCTTCTCTCCCAAGCCATCCCACATCCCCACATCCCCCAAATCAAGGTCTCCCATGGGGAGTCAGCAGAGCCCAGCACACTGAGCCTAGGCACGTCCAAGCCCCTTCCCACTGCACCAAGGCTGTAGCTGGAGTTTTCTCCAGTCCTGCCTGGCCCACACAGTCAGGACAAATCTCTCTCACCCACCAGTCCCACAGCTGCTCAAACCCAACCAAGTAACCACACAGAGACTTATATTGCTTACAAACTGTATGGCCATGGCAGGCTTCTTGTTATCTAGTTCTTCTATCTTAAATTGACCCATTTCTATTAATCTATAAGTTGCCACATTAGCCCACAGGGCTAGAGTCTCTCAGTCATTTTTTCTGTGTACTGTAGAATGTCTGGCAGTTTCCTCTGTGAAGCAGGAACATATAGGATCATTTTGCCAAGCAAAGTTCAGTGGTCACCTTTCCATGGGTCCTGCATGTCCAGTTGACCAAGCAGTCCAGGCAAGAACAGTTTCTTGCCCATATGGCTCTTTTTGCCAAGGTGAAGATAAACTCCATATGGAGTGTCTTCGATGCCCATCCTTCTCTCTGAAGTAAATAGGTGCTGCCAGGAGCAGACATGTCTTACTGTCCAGAAAGTCTAAATTTTTAAAAATATTTTAAAGGCCATATTCTGTACGTCTTTGAAGTGTTTGAAGATTACCTGTCTATCTGAAATATATCTATGTATACCTAGAAAACTTAACTAACATGGTACAAGTTTGACTATCATAGAAGACTAATTATTAATCTGTATTTTTAATTATCACTACAATCTAAATGAGTTACATAAACATAATACCTCAAACGAGAATAGAAATATATATACAGTATAACAAAATTAAGTTTAAACTTGTATCAATAAACTAAAATCTATACCAATGTAAAACATTTTAAACAAGTTGTTGTTTTTTAAAAGTAGGTTCATTAATCTACCCTTTTATCCTATCATTTCTATATCCTATATATCTATATCATATCTCCCTTTTTTTTTAGAAAGTGATCGTATTTATAATCAACCTGTTTTAAATAAAAATATTGGTTTTTCTCTGTCCCACAGCAGAGGGTTCTTCTGATTTGGGACACAAGAATTTCTTAACCTTTTCTTTTAGCAATATGCCTTGGTTTAGAAGGGGAGTGAGCCAATTCCATCTCCAAAGTCAGCTTGGTATATTTGGGAATTTGGGCATAGCATCTCTTACTACTTCCTGCTGGAGGGAGGCACTGTATCTTATGGGAACACAAAGAAAATTTTATGCTTATGGGGTAGTCCATGAGGCTGTATTGTCTGAGCCATTTGCCTTGAAACCATTCTGGATGTTAGATCATCTGGGCCATGGTGTCATCAGAGACCTTTCAGGGGGTCTTGGCTGGTCAAACCTGATGTATCTTAATCTGGAACAAATCCATAGCCTCTGGCTTTCTGTGGGAACAAAAGCAGAGCCTCTTTTCCAAAGCAACATATCCTTATATCCAAATTTTGAGTACTTACATCTCACTTTTTATGGTGTCAGCTGACAGTGTCTCTCTGCCTCAGTCTTCCACTTCCCAGAATTCTCTTCTCTGCTTGTCTTACCTATATTTCCTGCCTGGCTACTGGCCAATCAGTGTTTTATTTATTAACCAATCAGAGCAACACATTTGACATACAGAACATCCCACAGCACAAGGCTGTGTAAGGCATCACACCACAGGCACTAGATTCCCAGAAGCCTGCCCATGCACCAGGGACAGATCCCGATTCCCCTGCCTGGGTGCCCCCCAAACAGTTTGAGCCAAACAACTGTCTTCCATATCCAGAGGGCCTAGTCCAGTCCCATGGGGGCTCCACAGCCGCCAGTCCACAGTTCATGGGCTTCCACTAGTGTGGCCAATCATCTCTGCAGGTCTTCCCATCATGATCTCGTCCCCCCTCCAGCAGAATCCCTCCTCTCTCTCATCAATTGGATTCCCGGAGCTCAGCCTGGTGCCTGGCCATGGGTCTCTGCATCTGGGAGACAATTTTTAAAATTGAGGTTCCCTCCTCTATGATGACTTTAACGTGTACTGAGTTGACAGAAAACTATCCAGCATAACTAGCAATGCACGTTGGTTCAGATTCAGAAATTTTTCTACATCACATATTTCCTACCTAGGATCTAAGGCCAAGTCATTTTTTCTCTCTTCTCTTGGGAGACAATGACCTTCCAACAAGCCTTTATGGTTTCATTCCTGCCCCAGTCTTCACAGACTAGATTCTATTAAGGTACAACACTCCTTGGGTTAACACACTACAGTGGCTTCCTATTTTATTTAAGATAAAAATCCAAACATTAACCTCCCAAAATTAAGGCTGTCCTCCTCTCTCCCTGCCTGCCTGTGTTTAGTTTCATTCACAGGAAGATTGCTTAATGTGGGACTATTTATTGTCCTGGGCATGAACTTAATCAACTCTGCATATAATAAAACTATATAAAAGTTTTGAATTTACACAAATCTTTTTTAAATAAACATTGTCAACTTTTTGGATTTTAAATTTCCTAAACTCTTCTAAATTTCTCTCTGTAAAACTGTAATAATAGTATCTATTATGTATACATAAAATATGAAGAATACATCACTGAAGGTTTAATGTGTAGTAGACATTTAATGAGTTACCAGAAGCTATGAGTATATAAAGGCATTAAAGCACAAGTGTAATTGTCCTTGTGAACAGTGTATATGTATACACACACACACACACACACACACACACACACACACACACACACATATATATATATATATATATTTATTATATGATACTGTATTTGTGACATGAATATAAAGGAACTAAAACACAAGTGTGATTATCCTTGTTCACATTGCATATGTATACAAATACGTATATACACTGTATTTGTGTCATAAGTAATTACACTCAAATATATATTGTTGGAGTTTTAAATATCAGCAGATTACTCCTTTAAAAAGTTTTATTGTTAAGCTTTCTTCCTTGTCTTACTCTAAGCCTACTAATTCTCTGTTCACTTTTGATGCTAGTCTGTTGTCTTCCTATATCAAACATGCAGAGAAGCGGTAAGGTTAGCTTATATTTCTGCTAAGTTGGCAGTTATTTGCACAATATTTTTTTTAACTATATGTTAACTTGTTATTTTCTTTGCACAGTTGACAATGTTTGCATTTCTAGAGAGACAGGTTGCAGCCAAATTATATTCAGGTTAATTGCATTCAAATTTGTTGTTTAATCTATAAAACCAACCTTAAAAACGCTCTCAAGTTAAATATAAAGCATAATTTTAATTGCTTAGCAATTACACACTTTTCTCGGCTGATACATTTCTCAACTTCCCCAATGCTAAGTGTGTGAAGAAATGAGAACCCTCATTAGAGAAGAATGTGTGGTGATAACAGAATGGAAGGTCCTCAAAAAGAAGACCAATAGAAGGAGACTAGAGTTCCAAAGGTAGAAGTAGCTACTACCTTTCCCTGCCGACGTGGAGGTAAGGCTGCAGGGGAGGAGTACAAGCCTAAAGGTAGATGGGGCCTGGCTCACATTTGCTTTGTGTCATCTAAAGGGAGAAGGAACAGATATGTAGTACTGTTTTTGAGTACCCAATTTGCATACATGCCTGCATGACAGAAGAGGGCATCAGATCCCATTATAGATAATTGTGAGCCACCATGTGGTTATTAAGAATTGAACTCAGGTCCTCTGGAAGAGCAGTCAGTGTTCTTAACTGCTAAGCCATCTCTCCAGCCCCAAGAAGTGACAGATTTGTTGGATGGTAACATGTCCATTATGTTACTGTGACAAAATACTTGAGAGAAATAACTGTGGTGCTTAATATTGATTGTCAACTTGATGGGATATAGGATCACCTAGAAGGAAACCTCTGGGCATGTCTGTGACTGCAGATGTGGTATTCACAGCTGACTCCTACCCCTTCCATCATATCTCACTTGCTAAGAACTGTATCCTCAGACTGAGAAGAAAGCAATCTTTTTTCCATAAATCTCTTTCATCAGGTATTCTTCACAGCAATGTGAAAAGTAATTAATACAATATCTTGATATTTTTTTCTGTAGGCTTAGTGCCTGCACATGAATCTACTGATATTTTAATTATTGTCTGAGGCCCCATAGCCCCACAGTCAATGCCCCACAGGCCACCCAGGCCACAGCCTAGAGGGCTGTTTGGTCCCATGGTCTAGGTTCTGCTGCAGCTGTGATATGTGGGATTGAACTTTTAAACTAAGCCTCCATTGTTCTATTTACCAATAAAGACTCAGAAGTCAGCTGTGGGGGTGAAAACCTGCTATATCAGAGAAGCCAAGAAGCAACTAGATAACTTTGCTTTTTGGCCTGAGACCCAGCAAGAGATATGTCTCTTCACTCATCCCAAAATGAAAAGGAAGCACCAAATTCAAGTCCTCACCCTTCCATATGCATCTTCTCTATTTAAATTGCTGGCTTCTCTGTGGCTAATTCCAGTCAGCTAGTCACTGGCCCTGCCCCCTATTCAAGATTTTACTTTATTGGCAGTCTCAAGAGCATCAGAGTGTGATCAAAATATCCCACAGCAAGGTCTTATATAGTGAAAGGTTTATTTAAGCTCACAGTTTCAGAGGGTTTACTGAAGTCCACGGTAAGTTGGATCCGTTATTCTGAGACATGTGATGAATTGGGTCTTTAGGGCATGGTATTTTGTGGAGTAAAGCCACTTGCCTCATGGTGGCTGGAAAGAAGGAGATATTGGCCATGGTCCCAATAGTTCATTCAAGGTAATGTCCTCAGTGACCCAACTTTCTCCTTCTAGGCTAAACCTCTTAGGTGTTCCACACCTCCTAATTGCACCAGAGGCTGGTAACCAAGCTTTTAATATATGGAACTTTGGTAATATTGAAGATCAAAACCATAACAGATAGTCAGACATGGTCAGATAGAAAGTGAATACATGACTGTCCTGGATCCTCCAGGTCCACATTAAGTATGCAAAGTGCATATAAAAGACTCTCAAGACTGCAAATGATTGAGTATGGCACTGAGCTTGTGGACTATCTTCAGCAACAGATTCCATAGAGACAATGAGCATATGCAAGCATTAGTGAAGTGGTTTTCAAAGCATGGCCTCTCAATCTTTGGCTGCTACTGTCAAGGAAGAAAGAGTCTCAAATCTCATTCCTGACCCACTGAATTGGAAACTCTGGGAACAGAGCCAGTGCTGTTTTGTAATAATTCTCAAGGGAACTTGAATGCAGATTTAAGTTTGAGGACCAACAATGGAGGATGCATACAGAGCAGGAGATTGCCAGCAGTCAAGTGTAGCCTAAAGAACAGCAAGAGGGAAGACAGTATCAGGATCTTAAATTAGAGAAGTTTAAAACACAAATTGAGGAGCTGGAGAGATGGCTCAGTGATCAAGATCACTGTCTATTCTTCCAGAAGGAAAATGGTTTGAGAAGGCTGGTTTGATTCCTAGTATCCACATGACAGTTCACAGCCATCTGTAACTCTAGTCCCAGGAAGTCTGATGCTGTTTTCTGACCTCTGCAGACATCAGTCATATATGTACATGCAGGCAAAACATCCACATACATAAAATAAAAATAAATAAAATAAATTCAGTTAAAAATAAATTAAATTAAAAATTACTGAATTTGAGAAAAAAAAACCTTCACAGTGATTCTAAAAAATGCATGTACACCATATAAAAGATGCCCTTTCTTAGCCATAAAATGTTATGGCTGTTTCTTTTAATCCAGTCCCAATTTTTCCTCCTTCATTATATTTAAATAATTTTTCTGAACATCTAGCTTTCTTCCTTCTCTTCCTCCTTTGCCTGTTTTCTCTCTTCTTTTCCCCTGCATGTGGTCCTCTCTTCCTCCTCCTTCTTTATTTCTTCTTCCTGCTCATTTTCATTTGTTCTCCAAGTCTGTGAATCCTTTTATTCTGGTTTGCCTTTGATACCTTCTTTCATAGCCAGGATTGTGTCTTCACTTCTGTCAATAACTTGTGGATTTTTAATCTATCCCCTTTTAAGAACTGTGTACATTTACTTCTCTTTGTGCACTGGGACCTTCACATGATATACCTTAGACCTTCAGGGTGAATGAAACTCTCATTGTGCCTTCCAAAAAAAATCATAGGTTATTATCAGGATTCTAGTGTGCTATGTGGCATTCTTTTTTTATTTAAAAGAATTTCTTTCCTTTTTATGTACCAACCCCTGTATCAACACAGGCTGGCATACCAAGTTGAGGCTGGATCTAGCCCCTTCCCACTGCATCAAGGTTGAGTAAGGCATCTAACCACCGGGAATGGGCTCCAAAAAGCCAGTTCTCACACCTAGAATGAGTCCTGGTCCCATTGCCAGAGATCCACAAACACATCAATTCATGCAACTTTCACTCACACTCAGAGGGACTAGTCCAGTCCCATGCAGGCTCCTCTGCTGTCATTCCAGAGTTCATGAGCTCCCACTAGCTTGGGTCAGTTATCTCTTTGGTTTTTCTCATATTCTGACACCACTTGCTCTTATAATCCTTGCTCCCTCTCTTCAACTGAACTCCAAGATCTTGGCCAAGTGCTTGGCTGTGTGGCATTCTTATAGGCAACAGGGATGACTCTCTCTGATTATTCCTCAAAAAGAAAACCCTCATGCAATTGAGTGGGTAGTTACTGGTTCCTGGAATTGTGCAGGAGGAGGTGTCTAAGGAAAGTACGTCTGTGGGACGATCTGAATGTATTTTATCTAGAGAAAAATAACTGAAAGAAGCTTTAATTCTCTAAGATGTGCATTCCCTTATTACTTAAAATGATCTTCATGGACCAGAAATGTTGATTGGTTTCCAGCAATTATGAAATCCTATCAGGAAGAGGCTCAATAAACAAGACTTCTAGCATTTTAGAAAAGCAGAGAAGTTGAATAATTATCCTCTGTTATTAGGCCTGTGTGCTTACATTGCTTTGAGGAAGACAAATATAGAAAAGTATTCAAAATTTGTGCCTTTGTAAAAAAATTGGCTATTCATGAATTTTCAGATAGAGGGGTGGGTTGGTTATTCAGCTACTCTGGGTTCTTTCTGAATTCCACATGAATACTGCCTTAAAACATGAGTTCTTTCCAGGGATGTATGCCAGCCATGCTTTATACAGCTGGGATTGCCCGAATAAAGATGCCTTTTGAGCACATCCTTGGAAAGACTGCAGAACATCGCTGCTTTGGCATTCCCGTTTTCTACCTTGGCCTATGAAAGTTAGTTCTAGAGAAAGGAAGCCATTATTATTGATTCACCATTTACTCCTTTTCACAAGACAACAAAATCTTAATGTTAAGACAGGGGAAGAAAAACATTATTTAGAATATATTGTATGAAAATATTGTTTCAATAAAAAGAAACAAATATAGGAATATTGGTGAGAGTGTGGCTGGCAGGACATCTAGCAAGCAAAGGTGTTTGCTGCATAGACCTGGCAGTCGGAGTTCCAACCCTGGAACCTGTTCTACAAAGGTGTCCTCTGAGCTCTGTGGAAATGACTTGTCATGTACAATACCACCAAGATCCAATAATAATTAATTTAAAAGACTGGTTGAGAAGTAGGGTACTATGAATTGAATATTTGTGCTCACTCCCACATAACTCATATTAAACCCTGCACCCTAAAGTGATGGTAGAAGGTGGAGCTTTTGAGAGTAAATGGGGGTAGACTCCTTTAAAATGAAAATTGAATCCTATGAAAAGGAGCTCTGAAGAGCAGAGAACAGTGGTCTACAGCGGTTTCAAAACATGCTAACACATCTATAAGTACTTATGCCTTCAAAAGATAGACTCCAATCTACTCACCTTGAGCACGGGCTGGAATGAGTGGCTTAATGGATAAAACCATGACACATGACTTTAAAGAATACATTGGGAAATTGAGCTGACATTCACCTGATCTTCTCTTGCTCTGGACATTTGCCCCCAGGACCATTTGCCACACCCCAAGGAAGTGAACAGCTGCAGAGTGGTCAGTTGGCTGAATATAGTCCAGCTGAGATGCCTGCTGGCACCTAGCATCAACTTCCACAAACATGATTAAATGATAATGAAATAATTCCATTCTCCATGTTGCCAAATGGGGCAGACATGAGCTGTCTCTTCCAGGCCTTGAACGAAGTACAGATTCATGAGCAAACTGAACTTTGCTATGGTTGTAAGCCAGTGGGATTTAGAGATAGTTTCTGCTGCAGCACTAGGATGAATAGAACACTTGTTAATTTAAACTGTGAAAACACTTCCCCAGGTTAAGATAACCTAATGTCTGCACTGATTATGTATGAGTAAAATGAGACACTGTTCACACTGGGAACATGAGATTTTTCTGTCTCTCTCTTGCTCTCCCCTACCCCCTCTATAACATTTGAATACACTGTTTTACTTATTCCCTACAAATTACCTGTGAGATGCATGATTTCAACAACCTCATCTTACACATGTGGGTATTTGAGAAATGAAATTCTAATTCCCCACTCTCTTTGCACCTACTATACCCCAAGTTGATAGATTAAGAAGGAAGAAGCAAAGAACTCTCAGAACTCCAGCCGCTAAGTTCCAGAGCACTCAATGGGTTCTGTTTGGAAACATCAATCCAGTACTGCTGTAGGTGGAGACTGAAATATAACACATTAAACAACAGAAAAACTGAAATAACTTGGTGCATTTCCAGACTCTTCCCTTCTTTCTTTGATATCTCTTTCTGAATCCCAATCCACAATGCTACTGCTCAGTAGATTTAAAACCCAGCATCACTGCATTGAGGACACAGAACTCTTTCATCAAATACCACCTACCACTTTCAACTTAGCTGAATTTGCCTGTATCCTCATTATCTCATATAGAGTACTTCTTGAAGAGACTCCACTTCTGAAAGTCAGCCTGGCCCCTTGTAAGGATGCTGACAGAGATCCACCTGAGGAGCTGACAGAGTGCCAAGCACTGGACCAGGCTCTTTCCATTTGCATGGTATTTAATTCTGAAACATGCATGAAGGTATTGTTCATAATATTGATGTATTTTACAGCAAAGAGACTCCTTAGAGAAGTGAAATCACATCTCAGCTTACAGGGCTGAGATTTTGCAGCAGCAGGTCAGTGACCTGGATCAGGCTGTCACCAGAGACCCATTTCTTGGCCACTGCATAAATGCCACCTCCATCCATTAGGACATTGGCCATTTGGTCACTACATTCTACTGTCTGAATGATTGACAGCAACTATTTAACTGAAAAAATATACAGAAAATAGGCATTTACATATTTGAAATGACAGTTTAGATTGTTACCTTCATAGCAACCTCTCTTTCCCCAGTATAAATTTACTGCGACATGAAACACATGCTTCCTTCTAAATTAATGTTTAATTGCATCCCACAAAATTTCCTCTGCATGTTTGAATCTGGTTTATCTTTCAGGTCTTAATGAAAGACCACCTCTGTGTACAGAATTCTCTATAGCCAATGAGCTCTAGTTTCCTTACCTTGTTTGTTACCTACATGACAAAAAGTCCTCCAACTTCAGTTTCATATGCACATGATACCTGAATGTGGCTGGGTTCCTCCTCACACCACATGGCGTCTACTGTGGCTTATATATGGCTCCAGTCTATCTTCAGGGTGCACAGAGGCTCACTCCTCAATATGGCACTGTGGGGAGGTGGTAAATGTTTAGAAGGTGGGGCCTAGTGTAATATAACTCAGCTACTGGGGTGTTTCTTCAGAAAGGATTAATACTGTAAGACCTTTGTGACTTCCTGAGTGGACTGTTTGTTGTTCTATTAATTTGTAAAGTACTATATTCAATAACAGTGATGTGTCTAGAATGGTCATATATATATGTATATATATATATGAAGAAAGCTTCTCAGTGAGTTCAGATTCCTGGCATAATAATTTGAGATTCAGGGATAAAATGAATGAGTAGAAATGCAGTTCCCGCATCCCTGGCTTCACATCTTACCATGTGACAAATCTACAAGCACTTCTGCCATGCACTGCCACAAAAGCCCTCTCCAAAGGCCAGCAGCGAGCTACAGGATCTTATACTGTTGAATTTCCAGCCTCTGCATCTGTCTTTATAAAGCTTTTAGATACATTTGGATGTTTTGGTGATTGTTCTGGTGAATGCAAATTACAGTTGGATTTTCAAAACCATTTGGTAGTATATTTGCTGTATTTGATAATTTACTATATGAAGAAGGGTAATATTCTATTGTTCTTTTCATGAGAAAATGATTTATTTGTAAAAAGAGAACATTTGAAACAGTATTGCTTTCTTCTTATAAAACAAAATTTGTCTTTCTTATATTGATTATTTTTGTTTCTCTCTGAGTCACTCTGTCAGATATACAGAATTACCAACACAACATTGATTTTTATATTCTGTATTTTATTCCATTCTGATTTAGCAAAGTATTCCAATATGTTTTCTATGTAATAAATACACTCATTTTGGCCTTACTATTCCATCTTCGTTGTGATCAACTATGATGACAGAGCATTTTGTATTTCTAAAAAAACAAATATAAGCAACCAAATTATTTACCTGGGAAATGTTTTTGCATTTGTCCTTGTGTGTTCTCTCTAAGGAAAGAACACAAAAACTACAGTATTAGAAAGAGAATCTGTAAAATACGTATCTGAAAACCACTAGGAGGAAATAAGAAACATCATAAAATAATGCTATGTTATGTTATTTGTAAAGATGTTGTTTAGGGAGCTGGATGAATAATAAAACTCTTTCCCAAACTGAATTTTTAATAATGTCTCACCACAATCTTCTTTTGGAACAATGGAAGTACAGTAATAAATGCAAACATCTTCCAAATAATAAAGGGGAAATACAGGAAATCATTTAGTATATTTGATTAAAGAAATCCTTTTGTTTCCAAATTCATGCCCAAAATATCACTGGAGATAACCTATTGTGGTGGTGTTTTTCCTTTTATAGGTGGGGGAGAGTTGGCCTGCATGTTCACTGGAGCAGATGACTCTAATTCATTCCATAGTTTCTGAGCCCTGTCCATTAGCTTTCTCATACATGACAAAAAACTTCTAATGAAAACATTTAAGCTCTTAATGGAGCCAACAGCACTTTTCATTCCTTTTTAAAGCTGGTTCTTAGCCCAACCTGCTTCTGTAGCACACCTGTGGTTTATGCTGTCTCTATTGGATGGACAGCACAGCCATACTTTGGGGTTATACTTCCTTTTTGTTTATGTTTGGAGATTGCAGCCTCATGATTATACCATCTTTAAGCCACTCTTAACAGAATCATGAGATGTGTTCATTAGATGCCAGTTATAAACTTAGGAATCACAATTTTATGTAAATCACAAGTTTATGTAAATATTTAGTATGGACAGATTATACAGTATAGAGTCGTTTTAATTCCTTTAACTTAGGACAGTGTTTTCAAGGTAATTTTTGTTGTACATAGACTAAAACTTTATTTGTTTAATTGCTGAATATTTTATTTATTATTATTATTATTTGTATGTTACATCCAAACCAAGTTTCCCCTATCTCACTTCCTTCCAATTCCTCCCTCTCATCTTCCCTCTACCCCTCCCCCCATTCACTCGTCTTCCACTGTTTCTCTTCAGGTACAGGCAGGCCTCCCAGGATGTCAGCCAGCCAAGGTATACCTAGTTTCGGTGAGACTAGGCTCCTCCTCTTCTATTAAGGCTGGATGAGGCAACCCCGTAGAAGGATTTGGTATCAAAAGCAGGCATCAGCATCAGAGACAGCCCCTGCTCTCACTGTTAGGAGTCTCATAGAAGACCACATTACACAGCTATAACATATATGGAGAGGACCTAAGTCAGTCCCATGCAGGCTCCCTGGTTGTCCGTTCAATGTCCATATAAGCCCAAGTTAGTTGGTTCTCTGAGTTTTGTTGTGCTATCCTTGACTGCTGGTAGCCAATAGCCATGTCAGAGGAAAAGCAGGTGGCAATTGAAGTTCAGGTGTGAGCCTACCAGAAGAAAAACTCTCCAATGGGTATGTCTTGTTTAAGCAAGGCTTGAGAGAGTACAGACTCCAGAATGTATTTTGCTTCTGTTGTGTCCCTGCATGCTTGCTGCTACAATGTATATGGTGTGAGGAGCCCCCCACTACTTATATTGTAATGTGATTATCTCATGATTACATCTCAACTTACTGGGCATTTAATTCTGTGGATTGTCAGAAAGATGATTTCTCCTTAAGTTATATTGTCTATTGACACAGAGCTTGATGAATAAAAATAATACTTGGATATGTTTCATAACTAAAGCCTATTGTTCCACAAGGACTGTGAGACGCTTAGGACCTGCTTTATATCACAGCTCAGATTTATTATTTAGGAAAACATTTGAGGATGAGAGCCAGGCTAGCTCAAATTCCTTTTATCTTTATGCTGAGATATGAAATCGCAGGTTTCTTGCACATCATTAGATGAAACAAAGCTTCAAAAGCACTTTAGATTAAGCCATATGCCTTGCTAATGTTTTTTTCATAAACATTCCAATTTTAATTCAGTGAAGACACACAGCTGTACTTTCTGGCTAGATTGTAAATACAAAACAGCCCAATTATTGCTAGCTGAATAATGATTAAGCCCTTGAACCCATTTCTGACCCCAACTTGTGAAAATAAATTCTGACTAGTGAAGACTACAGAAAATAATTTGTCTCTGTAGCCCTAAATGAGGGTTGCAGGTGTTTTTGAATAATCAGAAGCTTTACACACAGCTCTTGCTTGCTCGCTCATGACAGGCTACTTAGATACATTACATGATAGTTGTCAGGATGTCTCTGTTTTTAGGTCATATCTTTACCTTTGGAATGTGACCCTTTTATGACTTATTGCCTGAAATATTTGACTGGGATGTATAAGCTGTAAAAAAGACATGACAGATTGGAGCAATGTAGTGGATCAATGAGAGAGAACAACATGAGAGAAGAGCATCATGAGAACAAGTTGAGAGAATAAAATGAAACCACCAAGAGAATGTGTGAGTTTTTTTTACATCCCTAAAAGCCCTCAGGTAGAATAGTCACAACTTCACCATGCTGTGGATTTCCCTTTAAAAGCCCTTGTGCTGCCGGAGGCTGGCCCTCCAGACAGTGATGTTTGACCCCTCTGGCTCCTACAATACTTCCTCCCTTCTTCCCTAGGATTGTCTAAGCTCCACCTAATGTTTGGCTGTGAATCTCTGCCTCTGTTCTCATAAGTTGCTGGGTGAAGCCTCTTGGATGACAGTTGGGCTAGGCACCAATCTCTGAGAATACCAGAATATTATTAGGAATCATTTCATTGACTGCTTTTTGGCCATTCCTGTTTGGGTCTATCCTGGGTCCCTGGGGCATCCTACTTCTGGGTCTTGACCCTCAGGGGTGAGCTCTCTCTCAGGGTCTGGGTCTCCAGCTGGGTCACTCATTAGTTGGTCACTCCCACAATTTCTGTGCCATTTCTACCCCAGCACATCTTGATGGCAGGACAACTTGTAGGCTAAGGGTTTGTGGTTGGGTTGGTGTCCCAGACCCTCCCCTGGAAGTCTTGCCTGGTTACAGGAGATGCCTGGTTCAGGCTGCATATCCCCCATTGCTAGAAGTCTTAGTTAGGGTCACCCTCATAGATTCCTGAGACTTTCCATTGCTCTAGGTTTCTAGCTCATCCCAGAGATGCCTCCAGATTCCAGCTGTCTCTCCCAGTATTCTCTCCCTACAACTCCCTCCCCTTATCTGTTCCCTTCTGTTCCCATCCCCATTCTCCCTTCCAGGCCTCTCCCCCAATTCATTGCCAATGTCCATTCTATTTTGTCAGGAGTTGTGCAGCCTAGTCTTGGATCAGCATATGATTATCTGTTCAGTGGGTTTCCTCACAGCAAGGTACCTATGGAAATGGACTCTCACTTGAGAAGGACCAGTAGTCTACCAAACAGTGTAGGAATTTGCAAAATTCATGAAGCATGCAAGCTTTTATATTTCTCATTATATTGGTGATTCTTTGTATGGTTTTTAGTTTTACTCATCAATCACATATGCAACAGCTATAGTTTTCCCTGGAAATTCTATTCTTTCTCAAATATTTTCCCCTAAGTTTCAGCAGGAGACTAATGTTTCTCAAATCTCTTATGTGGAATTATTAACTACAAATACTAATCCTAGGAACTTTTCTGACTCAATAGAGACAGTTAGGTAGATGTGAGAAAACAATACTTATTAACCATGTCTTACAGTTCTGGAAAGGAGAGTAAGGCATACATACACAGAATAGGGAAAAAGCCTCAGGAATGCACATAGTGCCAACTCTTCAGAGTAAGTTCCCTGAAACCAAGCATGTAGAATCAACGATAGGATCTACTATGCTCAAAGAGAAAAAAATACAATGCAAAATGTGGCATGGATAGAGCCATCTTTACCATACATAGGAGCTTATATTGGTGGGGGAAGTATGGTATAGTGAGATGGGGAAAGAGTGTTTTATCAAGGTCTGCCTTTTTTTTTTTTTTTTTTTTTTTTTTTTTTGGTTTTTTCGAGACAGGGTTTCTCTGTGTAGCTTTGCGCCTTTCCTGGAACTCGCTTTGGAGACCAGGCTGGCCTCGAACTCACAGAGATCCGCCTGGCTCTGCCTCCCGAGTGCTGGGATTAAAGGCGTGCGCC